GTTAAAAAAGATTTTAAAAGGGACGGTGAAGTTAAAATGTTTCTCCATAAAAAGCTTAACAGTAGATCCTGCAAACACATCATAACCACACTAATTAGTAAGTAGTTGTGTTGTAGTTCTATATTGACATTTTGGTAATAGTTTGCGTTCGTTCTGAAATTTTAGCTACATTCTAACTCCTACAATGTAACTTCTTTTAATCAATTTAATCATTTCATCATTTATATTATTTTAACCTATACAAAATAACACTTGTAATCGTGTCCAGTTTTTAAGAAATCAGGTTCCTCTTCACCTACGTTAAAACAAGAAACAGGAAAAATATATTTAAATGAATAGCAACATACCGATAAAAATTTTTCTATTGAGCTTTTTTTTTCTTTCCAAATTTGGACAGTTTCATTCTAAACACTCAACAGGATACAAGCACTTTACAGCAAGAATTGGTACATTTCACCACCTTTCTGTTTGTACTTTGAAAAAACAGTTTAGTTGACTGACGATTGGGAACCGCAGTAAACTTATTTAGAGACCTCACTTACATTTTTACTAACATAAAGAGTCATTTCTGAACCCTGAGAACCAGAATGTAAAGCAGTTAATCAATCAGACCTCTGTTCTTAACTCTTCAGTGATAGAAATGGGCGGATATGTAGGGATGAGGATAAACTTCTAGTCTTACAAATTTCTGTCATGACTAAACATTCCATTCAACAAATGTTAATCAGACAAAGATAGTCAGCGTAAAATGTGGGATTTATTCACAGAGGGGGAAAAAAGCTTTTCAAAGCAATCTGGCCACTCTGAGAAAATGATTAAACAATGGTGCGCCAGCTTTTATTTGGTGAATATTCACCAATCACAATCAGACTAATTTCTGATTTGCTCCATACCTAGGAAATCAAATGCAATAGAACCTGTCGGCCAACACGAAGTAGGCTAAATAATTTTGTATAAAAACATAATTCCACCTGGGAAGTGAGGCACTCTGATATTAAGTCCTCAGGACTCCAGTGAACTATACTAACTACCCACTGAGTCACCATGGAAGAGTGGTGGACCTTTCCAGGGGTCAAACCTCCGGGCGGTCATGGAGGTGGAAGTGATGCTCATCCTGGGTTGGTTCTGGAGCCGAACGGCTGGTTGGAACTGCTGGAGTCATGCATCCTGAATGAGAGTCCATCCATCTGTGAGCTTAAACTGACACACTTGGTTTATGAAGCAGATCAATGACAGAGTCCAGCTCTAAGTGATAATAAATACTAACGAAAAACAGAAAGGCCTGACTTTTAACCTACTTTAAACATTTGGTTCTTAATCAAATAAAACAAACAGGAGCAAATATAGCAGAGCTTGGATTCATTTTAACTGTTTGTCGTGACTCTAACTCAATGTAACCTGTTAATTAGGCCATTCTGGAATAAAACTTTAAATCTGCTCATATTATTTTTTATTTTCATATAGTTTTCTACATTCATGTCTGTGGGGGAGAGGCGGTCTAGTGGTTAGGGCATAGTGCTTGGAATCCTGAGGATCTAATTTTGAGCAAGACTCTTAACCCCCACAGCTCCCTGCTCCAAATGAGGATGGGTTAATGCAGAGGTAAATTTCTCCATTGTGAGATCAATACATTTCAATTATTTTTATTATTATTTTGTTAAACTGTTCATTTTAACCAATAGTTTTCCTAATTATTCACCAGCCTAACAAAGATTGTAAAATTTTTTAAGAGTTTAGCAGCTTTGCTGTTGAACATAAAGATGCATGTGACACAAATATGGACAAATATTAGATGAATCGGTGTTTAAGACATCTGCTAATGTACAGAAAGGAACCGGATTAAAATCTCCATTCAGCAATTAAGTATATAAATAACTGTTTTAAGCTGCAATAAAGTAAACATGTGGGATCACAAACGTACACAAACAAACACATCCACGATTACAAAACAGTTCATTTCACCAGCAGGACATGCAGTGTCACTCAGATAAAAAAAATGTTTCATCGTTGCACATTATTGACACACTAAGTTATGAGAAAGTCTCTTATTTCCAGCTTTAAATCTTTGTACATATACATATATCCATATTTACAGCAGCTCTTACTTCCCATCAACAAAGTCACAATGACCTGAAAGACTCACTGTAATGGAAACATGAAGCAGAGACACCAGATATGACAACAGAGAGAAAATCTCACTGAAGGTTGTTTGAAATGCACACATGTATGTGAGAAGAGACAGAGCCAGAGATCTGCTGGGACACGCTGTTAAAGGGAATGCTGACTGCTGTGACACGCTATTAAATGGAACGTTGTCTGATGTGACACGCTGTTAAAGGGAACACTGTCTGATGGGACACGCTGGTAAAGGGAATGCTGACTGATGGGACACGCTATTAAAAGGAACACTGACTGATGGGACACGCTATTAAAAGGAACACTGACTGATGGGACACGCTATTAAAAGGAACACTGACTGATGGGACGCGCTGTTAAAGGGAACGCTGTCTGATGGGACATGCTGTTAAATGGAACGCTGACTGATGGGACATGCTGTTAAAGGGAACGCTGACTGATGGGACACGCTGTTAAATGGAACGCTGACTGATGGGACATGCTGTTAAAGGGAAAGCTGACTGATGGGACACGCTGTTAAATGGAACGCTGACTGATGGGACACGCCATTAAAGGGAACGCTGACTGATGGGACACGCTGTTAAATGGAACGCTGAATGATGGGACACACTGTTAAATGGAACGCTGACTGATGGGACACGCTGTTAAAGGGAACGCTAACTGATGGGACACGCTGTTAAATCGAACGCTGACTGATGGGACACGCTGTTAAAGGGAACGCTGACTGATGGGACACGCTGTTAAATCGAACGCTTACTGATGGGACAGGCTGTTAAAGGGAACGCTGACTGATGGGACACGCTGTTAAAGGGAATGCTGTCTGATGGGACACGCTGTATAACTGAACACTGACTGATGGGACACGCTGTTAAAGGGAACGTTGTCTGATGGGACACGCTGTTAAACTGAATGCTGTCTGATGGGACACGAGGTTAAAGGGAACGCTGACTGATGGGACACGCTATTAAATGGAACGCTGACTGATGGGACACACTGTTAAAGGGAACGCTGACTGATGGGACATGCTGTTAAAGGGAACGCTGACTGATGGGACACGCTATTAAATGGAACGCTGACAGATGGAGCACGCTGGTAAAAGGAACACTGACTTATGGGACTTGCCGCTAAAGTAAACACAAACTGATGGGACACGCCGTTGAAGGGTACGCTGACTAATGGGACACGCTTTTAAATAGAACGCTGACTGATGGGACAAGGTGTCAATGGGAACGCTGACTGATGGGACACGCTGTTAAAGGGAACGCTGACTGATGGGACACACTATTAAAGGAAATGCTGATTGACGACACATGCCATTAAATGGAACACTAACTGATGGGGCTCGCCACTAAAGTGAATGCAAACTGATGAGACACGCTATTAAAGTGAACGCACACTGATGGGACTCGCCACTAAAGTGAACGCAGACTGATGGAACTTAATGTTAAAGAGAATGCAGACTCATGGGACACGCCATTAACTGGAACGCAGACTGATGGGATATCTATCGTTAAAGGGAACACAGACTGATGGGACACGCCATTAAATGTAAAGCTGACTGATGGGATACCCATCGTTAAAGGGAACGCAGACTGATGGGACATGCTTACCTAAGCAAGTAACTCTTCAATATTAGCTTATTCATTTAAATAAAGCATGAAGAATATTTAATATATTCCTTTGGATTTAAATCGAGAATTTGACTTCCTAAAGGTCTAAAATCAAGATACAGTTAGAAAATTTAGTCATTGAAGTCCAAATTTCTACAAAACGTTCTAATTATAAAGAATTGTAAACCATGAAACTTTTCATCTATACATTCAAACCTGAAACATCTGTTTACATTATTTGCTTCCATGCAAGTCCCCAAAACGCTATTTTTAACCCTCTAAAGTCAGAAAAAACAAGAAAAAAATCACAATATTCTTAACTTTCACCTTAAAGGTGGTGAGAACACAGCTTGTTACATGTCAAAAAACAAAAGTTCAACCTTTTCTACCTCTTTTATGTTTTTTTTTCCGTACAGACCTATGAGGTTAACACGTGTTTCTTTAAAGGTTTAAGTTTTAATTGCATGTAAGGTAAATAAAAAAAATATGTATATTATATACAAGCTTTGCCCAGCCTCTTTCCTTCTAACTATTTATGGAAGCGTGCAGTAAAGCAGCAGTACCATCCTGTTACTGGGCTGCACTGGGACCAGGGTTTAGAGAGTTTGTTCACACTGTAACATGTGAGATAACAAGACTCCATGGATCCTCAAATGACCAACTGAATAAGGAGCTTCCTTCACACTGAAAAGGACCCCACTTCTTCTCAACTAACCAGAAGGTGAAGGGTCTTGGCAGGCTCTATATGGAGCCTTTTTATCTTGTTTTCATCCTGAGGCTGCAGCACACAGTTCTGCCTGTTCCCCACATCACAGACGGGCTCTGCTGGGTTTAGATCTGGGGACTGTGAGGGCCGTGATGCGCTCATCGTCATGTTAAAAAAACTGCTCTGAAGTTGAGCCATGCAGCATTCTTCATAATCCATCAGCAAGCAGCCATCTAGAAATGGTTACCAGGTGGCCAAGAAGAGACGGACATGTTCACCAACAGCCCCAAGGGAGGCTCTCTGGTCCCTAAGAGACACTTAGTTTTTACCGAGGAGCCAAAAGAAGGGCAAGATGTGGAACAGATCATCACAGCACTCCCTTCACCCTGAACCATAGATACCAAGCAGGATGGATCCTTTGAACCTTGGCACAAAGAGTTTTATATGAGCTACTGAGCTTCAACTATCAAAACAATATGGCGGTGGCTGGTGTAAACGCTAAAAAAAAAAAATATAAAATATATATATATATATATATATATCCATCCTATTTTACCAATGTCTCTAGGGGGCGCTATCTTCCTCTGACTGCTTCTGATTTTTCTCGTCATCTTTTTGAAAGGCAGTAAGGTCCAGCTTAGTGTTTCCATTACAGTTTGGAGAAATATAGCAGTTTTGAAATGACGAACAATCAGTCCTCTATTAGCCGCTAACAGATGAGCTAACACAGCGGTTAACAGAACGGCTACCTGTGACTGATCACTGATCCTGATCTTTATGTTCCTGTTCCTCTGGAATATAGAGTACAGTATTAATATCATTGATTGATATTTAATTTTTTTTACATTTACTAGTGAAGGGTAAAGATGTTTTTCTTCCAAAAATTATTCTATTAAAGTAAAGCTTTTCTCTCTACTTCTAACAAAATATACAAGTATACCAACTGGAAAGGATTTCTTAAACTCATGTGGTTGAAAATGGATGCGTAAATATGGCACAGTATGAAAATATGGAAGGATGAATAATTCCTACACATTGTTACTTCTTTCTGCACATGTATCGGTTGGTGGATGGTCTAAGTCCAGCTCTCCGTCCAACCGCGTCTCCTCAGGACTCCTTCTGAACCCGGGGCCGTCAGGGCCAACCTGGGCTCGATGATCAGCCGTCATCCCATTCACTGACGCTCTCTCCTGATGCTCACTGCTATTACGCTTTCCTTTCAAGTCAGATGAAGTCTCCAGGTCAGCCTTCTCCTCATTTTCATTGGCATGGCTGCTGTTTTGTTGGACGTGTCGAGGATCTCGGATGGTTCCAAAGCCAGTCTGGGCGGTCGACAGTGTCCGCTGAGTTCCCTCAAGTCGCTGGCAGCTGTAAAGACCTCGAAATGCAGAGCGAAACTTCTGAGACATGGCATTGTAAATCACAGGGTTTATGGCGCTGTTGGCATAGATGCAGGTCCGACAGAACAAGAGGAACCAGGAATCCAGGTAGGGTGTTGGCACAAAGGAGTTGATCAGAACCAAGGTCCGGTAGGGCATCCAGAGCAGAGCAAAAAGGATCACCACCACAGCAAGCATCTTGGTCACCTGCAGGGTGAATAACAGAAGAAAAGCTGCTGCAATAAGACTTTTTTTTTTTTAAACTAAACCTTAATGGTGAAAGTTGCTGGGAAGAAGGAACTGCCCAGACCTCCTCATCATACTTTAAACCTGATCTTTCAGATCTTCAAACTAAGAACACCAGAGTAAAAAGTTGACTGCAGGTTTGCATTATTTCACTATATAGCAAAAAATAAATAAAATTAAAAAAAGTGTGAAATATAATCCTCTCATAACCTAACTCAGTAAAACAGAGAGATTAGAAAAAGGAAATCTCAGATAAAAGCCATCAGCCAGTAGTGACTTCATGCAGGTCTTGCATTCTACACCTAAGGATGAACATTAGCTGTAGTTTGAATGGAATCAGCTGCAAGGACCAGACCACCGGTGAGTGCTTTGGAATTGGAACAAACCACTGTTCATTCGCAGGATTAGGATTGACACATGATGTCCCATTATCCCATATTATGCAAAATTCACATTATAAGCATTTTCTAAAAGTTGTATGTGTCCCGAAGCCCGTGTTTGAGGTTTACAAATGAATTTAAAAAAAAAATGTCCCCCTCTCTCACTGCCTTATTCAACCTCTCAGGTAATGTGTGCTCAAAATGAATTGTTTCAAAATTGTTTAGGATCAAATATCAATGATGTGAGCAGAAGAGGGTGTGTCTCGATTTCTAATCCCTGCAATACAGTTTACTCAAGCAGCCGACTCCATCTAAAAGGTCTCTGTCCTGTAGCTTTCAGGCCTTGATAGAGGAGACACATGCCGGTTTTCAGTTGAGGCTATGTTGTAGTCACCAAATCAGACTGCCCCCTGTCTACCATATAGAGGAGCTGAGCATAGCAAATTGTTTTTCCTGCGTTAAAACCAAGTTGAACGCAGGTTTTTTTGTGAACATGCCTGCTGAAGCTGATGAGAAACTGTCCAGTTCTGGCCGACCCATGGAACAGCCGAGCCCAATTTGCTGTTCACCGAGGAGTCGCTTGAAGCCTTCGACCCGTGCTACACGGGTTCTGAAGCTACTGAAGAACTGTGAAGCCATCTGACGGTGACCCACTGGTTCGGCTGCTGTTTGGCGCTACGCTGTCGCTGCTACAGGCTATCCGCCACCTTAAGGAGACCCTTCGCCCCCTCCGTGCCACTGAGCCAAGTAAACATCTTTTCCTGGCTTCCATCTGATGCTTAACAAATACTTAATATACAGTGGGTACGGAAATTATTCAAACCCCTTTACGTTTTTCACTCTGTTTCATTGCAGCCATTTGCTAAAATCAGTAAGGTTCATTTTATTTCTCATGAATGTACAGTTATCACCCCATCTTAACAGAAAAAAAAATGTAGAAATGGTTGCAAATTTGGAAAAAAATGAAAAACTGAAATATCAAATTGTCATTGCTCAGTATTGAGTAGAAGCAACCTTTTGAGCTAGTGCAGCCATGATTCTTCTTGGGAATGATGCAACAAGTTCACAGCTGGATTTGGGGATCCTCTGCCATTCTTCCTTGCGGATCCTCTCCAGTTCTGACAGGTTGAATGGTAAGCGTTGGTGAACGGCCATTTTTAAGGTTTGTCCAGAAACGCTCAGTTGGGTTTAGGTCAGGAATGGTCACAGAGTTGTTCCCAAGCCCCTCCTTTGTTATTTTAGTTGTGTGCTTAGGGTCATTGTCTTGTTGGATGATGGTACCTGCCCTGCTCCCGAAAAATAATTCTAGAATGTGAACGCAATGTGTTGTCTTGTGTCTAATCTGGTTATGTGAGCAAATGTTTCAGGGACCGTGGAGCAGACCAAAGCCCTAATAAAGTTTGGAGCATAAAATGAGGAACAGATCAGCAAGAAGTTTACCACAAAGCAACTCTGGGAGTGAGTAGTCTTACATGCTGTTTTAATAATCAAATTCTGATCATGCATTTTAGCACCCTAATGTTCATCACTGTAGGACAGCAGTCAAAGAGCTCGGCCTTAAGGGGAAAATTACTGGCCAAAAGGCAGCAAAAAAGTGGGAGCTGAGTTCAACTTCCACACTGCGCCCCCACCAACGCCAATGCCATCAACAGCAGCAGGCCCTTTTGCTCCTTCCTCATCAGCTGCTCAAACACCCCCACTCCATCTCCCAGAAAGAGGGCAGAAGAAACAATAATGCTCTTTTTGATTTCTTCAAACAAGAGTTGGAAAAGGAGTAAAAAATGCATGAGTAAACTGAAGCCTTAACTGAAAGGTTCCTCAGCCTGTTTAAAAAGCAAAGAAAAAATGAAGTTAGAGCTGTGGTGTGTTTACCTTTTAGTGTGCAATCAGTTTCAGCTTGTTTGGATGTTTTGGGTTTTTTTTCAGTTTATTTCAAAATATTGTTCCATATTTGTTATATAGTTTCATACTTTATACTTTTGTAAAATGTGAGATCAGATTCCTGAATACAAATATTTTTATAAATCAAATTGCTTGGTCGTGGATTTTTGACTAAGCATCACCAATTCATACAGTATGTCACATTATAAAACGAACGACAAAGTTATTGTACATTATATAGAACTTTAATAAAGTGTATTAAAAATATGATACAGAGCAACAATATACAATTACAATTAACAATAGTTCTATATAAATTCCTTTAACACATATCAAACATGTGCCTGCACTTAAGTATTAACAGCTTTTGCCTGCATGGTTATTGAATATAAACCTTTATAATTTAAATGATGTTGGCTTAATTTGAATGTGGCAACCATCAATTGCACCTGCAGTGTTGGGATCTGGAGATCTGTCCACTTTCTCCACCAGAGGGCGTACGAGATCTCCTGGAGCCGGAGCTGATTGCACCACCTGTCTCTCATCTGCTCATCAGGAGATCCGTATTTAAGGAGGCAGAGGGCTTCACTCCAGTGCCAGAGTGTTTGCCAGTAACGGTTAGCAAGCCTGAGCCAACCAGCCTGTCTGTAACTCTGACCCCCTGAGAACCGAACCTGATCTGTTTTCTCTCCTCTCTGCTCCTCAGATTGAACCTGCCTGAAACCTGAAACTCTGGAGAGTTATCTGCCTGTCAGTTCTCAGAAGTTCACTGGAGAACAGTTCCTGTCAAAGATCTGCCTGCCCGCTCTCAGAAGATTACCGGAGACTCAATAAGTGATCTGCCAGCACTCAGTAAAGCTCTGCCTCCGCCTCTGCCCTCTGCCTGTCGTCAGCCTCTGGACCCTCAAGGTTCCCCCCCTCTGCAGCTCTGCTCCACTCAAGAACAGGTACAGATCTGAAATCACTCTACCTGCAAAATTCCCTTGACCTCCTCTCACTTCTCTGTCCTCCCCTGCAGTAAACCCACTCGTGACCAGTCAAATCACATCCTGGATCTGATTAACCTGTGTGCCCTAACAGAACCCTCTTGTGACCAGTCAAGCCACTCTCTGAACCATAACTATTTTGTACATTTATTGTCAAATAAATCTTTGAACTTTTCTTCTGCCTCCGAGTGTTCTGCATGTGGGTTAGGCATATTCGCCCGAACGTGACATGCAGCTTTATTGAGCAGGGGTGTCCCAGAAAGTTGACCGAATCCATGACCCACAGTCTCTAGAGCTGCTGGCTTGGAAAGGATATTGCTCTTCTCAAATTGTCCCAAATAAACTGTGCTACCTTGTGGACAATTCTATGTATGGTGGACCTGGGAATATTAAAAACACATGACAGGACACAGTAGGACAGACCGTGGGTAAGCCAGTAAACATATTTCAGAACTTCAAGCTAATGGCAACAGACATGGTCCTCCTCTCTCCTCAGCAGGCACTGCAGGGCATGCACGGCCTTCCTGCTCAGTCTGAAGTCCTTCATGAGTTCCAACTCCATGTGAAACCTCAAGCAAAGAATGGATACATTCCTGTCCAACCTACAGGAGGTTAGCGGACAGCCACTCTGGAAACAGAATAGGCAACAACAACAAGCTTTAAGACATGTTAATAAGCATAGGGAAAGAAAAAAAAGCTTTTACTTTTATTTTCTATGTATGCATAATGAGAATACATTGTTTTTCTAACATTATTATACCAAAACTGCATCATAAAAAATGAGTCCACATACCGTAAACAGATTAATAAGAGCGAGATAGTGGCCAGTCTTCATTTTTCCAAATTTCTTCTCTCTTGGTTGGCCACACGGAGAAGCAATAGGTAAAGTAACTGCTAGGGTTGGCCAGCGTTTCTAAATATGTACAAAGACCCAGAACAAAAACACACAGAGGGTTGTGACTGACGCTGTGTTTACGCATGACGTAAGTGAACACATCATGCGTAGGGTATTACCGGCATCTACTGGGCTGGGCTGTCATTGCGGTGTCCCATCTCTAAGGGAGAATCTTCACTTGCACTTCCCTCATATTGAGTGGACTTCATTGTGGAGGGAACTTACTGGAGTGTTTTTGGAAGCAAGTGAGAGAAATGGGACTGGGTCTTAGACAATCTTTACTGTCATTTGGTATACACAGAGTGTGAACATACCTCGGGAACTCTTGAATGGACTATTAAATCCCTTTTTGCCCTTTATGTTTGCTTTTATTTACTTGTGCTTATTTTTCAGTAGTGTTTATTGTTTGCTAAGTTGTTTGATATAATAATGATGTGATAAGGATTATTAGGTAATTATTTGATAATAATTGGAAGTGGTGGCCTTGTGGTTGGGGCATTGCACTTGGAATCCAGAGGTTCTGAGTTCAAGCCCCACTGCCACAGACTTCCACTTTGGATCCCTGAGCGAGGCCCTTAACCCCACAGTGCTCCCCGTGTGCTGCACCGTGACAGCCCACTGCTCCCCAAGTGTCAGGAATCCAGTTTGTGTGGTCTGTTTTTGTGTTTCCTTTCCTCCTCCACCAGGTGGTGCCCCGTCCTCATTGGGTCTCCCTGCACACCTGCAGCTC